AGTTTATGCAGGTGAGCATATGGGTGGGTGGGTGGGTGGGCGAGTGGGGCTGTAAAGGCCGGCAGGGAGTGGCATATGTGTGTGTGTATGCCGTGTGCCGGTGGATGTATGTCAGCATCAGAGCGATGGCAAGCTCATCTACCATACCCAGAACACGCCTGAGCAGCGTACGTAAATGAATCCCACACCCCCTCACACCAACACCCACACACCCCCGCGCAGCCAGCTTCGGATACCCATCTCTTTCTCTGTGTGCGGTGTGTGGTGTGGTGTGGTGTGGTGTTGTATGTTGGTCAGGTTCGAACGCCGCATACCTCATCGGAGCCTACCTAGTACACACATCCATCACATGGATCTCACTGCAATGGCCCTCCCTCTATGTGTGTCGGTCCCTCTCAGGTGGTCATGAAGGGCTGGAAGTCGACGGACGTCTACGCCCTCTTCGCAAGTGTGCCTGCACATAATAATAGCATTCTCAACACACACACGTCCCTGCACACAGACGACTGACTCTTCGGATGTGTGCGGGACTTGTGTGTCGTGCAGGAGTGTCGGCAGGGTTCAAGATGTACCGCGATGCGTCATCCATGCCAGAATCCACATGGGATATGGACGTAAGGACACAACACGGCACGCGACACGCACACACTCGGGCGTCATGTGTTGTCTGCTATGTGTGTGTGTGCGTTCGTGTGTGTATATGTGTGTGTGTGTGTTGTGCAGCTGTTGTGCTGCTATCAGGGCCTCGAGAAGGCGCTGGAGTTCGGTATGTCACTCGCTGGCTGGCTGGTGTGTGGTTGCGCGGGGGCTTGTATGAGGTGTGTTGTGTTGTGTTGTGTTCTGTTCTGTTCTGTCGTGTGTGCAGGTTGGTTTGACTTCCGCACGTTCGACATCAGACAATACGAAGAGTTCGAGAAAATAGAGAAGGGTCAGCAAGTAAACCAGAGAGAGCTCTAAATGGACGTATTTCTTGCCCGGCCACCTGCTGTGCCATGCTGTGCTGTCTTGTGCTGTGCTGTGATGTGTTGTGTGTTCAGGCGACATGAATTGGTGGGGGACACACACACGGCAGCTGGGTGCAGAGGGCCCGTACCTCTCTCTCTCTCTCTCTGTGTGTGTGTGTGTGTCTGGGGTGTGAATCGTGATTGTGTGTGGTCAGGATCCTGCCTGGCAAGTTCCTGGCGTTTTCGACCCCCACGAGCACACCCGAGCTGGCCGAAACCCTCAACGGACAGGTGGTATACCCTCCCCTCACACACACCCATCGAACCACGCAGGCACACGATGTGTGTTGGTGCAGGTGTTTTACACCAAGACGGCGTCCGACTACGCCGACGTGTTCAACACGCTCAACCTCAAGGTGGTGGTGCGCCTCAACAAACACGAGTACCACAGACAGGTCGGTCCGCACGCAGACTTACACTCACACACAAATGTAGGTGTCTCTCTCTCTCTCTCTGTGTGTGTGTGCGTGTGTGTGTGTGTGTGTGGCGTGACAGGATTTCCTCAACCGTGGGATTCAGCACGAGGAGCTCTTCTTCCCCGACGGTAGCTGCCCAAAAGACGTATGTCAGCGACACACACATTCACACCCACACCTGCACACCCTACCCCTTATACAAACACACACACACACACGTGTGGCTGGCATGTGTGTGCTGGTGCGTGTGTGTGTGCGTGTGTGTGTCAGAACATCATATTTCAGTTTCTGGAGGTGACTGAGGAGGCCCACCGCAGCGGGGTCGGAGTGGCCGTACACTGCAAAGTACGTCAGTACGTCACGTCGGCCGCCCCACACACACCAACCAACACTCACACCACCATCAGATGCGCCCGCCCGCCCCTATGTGTCGTGTGTTGTCCGTCCCTCCATCACTCCATCCATCCATCCAACAGGCAGGTTTGGGGAGGACAGGGACGCTGATCGGACTGTATGCGATGAAGAACTACAAGTAAGTGACTTAGGGAACCTTAGTGGCCATGCAAGACAAGACACACCGGGAGGGAGGGAGGGAGGGAGGGAGAAAGGGAGACGGTGACCAAATCTGTTTTGTGTGTGTTGGTGTGTCAGGATACCTGCTAGCTCGTGGATAGCCTGGAACCGCATCTGTCGACCGGTAGCTACTAATGCAGACTACACTCACGCGACACACACACAACATGTGAAATTCCACCCTATCTCTTTTTATGCCTCGCTCAGGGGAGCATCTTGGGCCCCCAGCAGCAGTTTCTGATCGTGAGCACACTCCACCCACCCCACCTGCACTGCACCCACACAAACAAACATACACACAGCCGTGTGTCGTGTCTCGTCTTCAGGAGAATGAGCGGCGTTTCCACGCGTTGCCCTCTGCCGACTTCATCCGCGCCGAACTCATGGCCAGACAGAATGGGTACCATCTCTACCTCTGCCACACAGCCATGCACACACACACACACGGAGAGAGAGAGAGCATGACAAAAAAAAGAAAGAAACCTCCATCTTTTGCTGTCCTCTCCCTCTCTCTCAGTGTTCCGTTGCCGGCAGCCATCATCAACAGCGGCCCACCTGCCGCAAACACTCGCTCGGTGCACACACCCTTCCATCCATCCATCCATTGATGTCTCTTGATGCCATGAATCGATCAGCATCGCCCGCTGGCCCGTCCGACGAGTCCTCCACCGGGTCAGACAGGTGCCCATCCCCACGCCCTCCCCCTCCCCCACCCCCACCAGCAGTACCGTCGCAACCGGCTGCTGCCGACCATGCTGCAGCTCGACGAGATGGACAAAAAGGGCGAGGAGGAGCGCGCCAAAAGGGACGGACGGAGTGAGTGAGCCAGAGGGCAGGCAGACAGGCAGGCAGGCAGGGAGGGAGGGAGGGAGGCATCAAGCGACACAGGAGGAAGGTGCGTCTTCTGTCTGTGAACAATGCAGAGTCTGCCGCTGACATAGCTATGTTTGGAGAGGAGGGCCAGGGCGAGAGACTCCTGGGCGCAAAACGGTCAGCACCCAACCCTCCCCTCCCTCGCCCCTTGCCCCCACTACACACACGCCTTCCCTCTGTGTGTGTGTGTGTGTGTGTGTGTGCCTCAGCCGTGACACGAATGCGCGTCCAGTGTCTCCCCGTCCGCCCCGCAGTCCCCGCCGCGAGGGGGGCGGCCGCGAGTCGCCCGACTTCTCCCTCTCCCCACTCACACTCGCACCAACACGCGGCAAAAACAGACGCAAGAAGAAGCAGCAGGCTGGCGGCCACGGCACCACACACGCCACCACCACAGCAGCAGACATGGACATCGACCACCACCACCACCACCAGCAGGGACAGCAGCTGCAGCAGCAGGTGGCCGTGTCGCACACGAGCAGCAGCACCACCGCCGGTCTCGCTGCTGCCGCTGCCGCTGCTGCCAATATGGGAGTGGGTGCGGACGGGGGCCCGGGGCAGGGGCAGCGAGGTAGCGGCGAGGGTGAGGGTGAGGGTGTTGGTGTGGAGGAGGTAGAGATGGCGGAAGGCCAGGAGGGGGCCAACAATGAGGCAGACTGCCAGCAGTGAGGGAGGGAGATATGGGGGTCGACGTAGCTCCAATATATTGCCGTCTGGCTGGCTAGCTTGGCGTCTTTGTTGAAGGAGAATTCTCTCGAGCTGGATGGATGGACGGACAGATAGAGGGAGGGGGAGAGAGAGAGAGAGAGACGTGTTAGCACAGTATACCATTGCAGAGGGGGGGTGGGGAGAGGGGCTATTCCCGATCGATTCATCACTGCCCCTGGTGGCTGCGTGCGTGTGTGAGCGTGCAGAGAGAGGCATCACCACGCAGTCAGACAGACAGACGAGGCGCGTAGATATGACCCACAGCAGCGGCGGCAGCACACTCGCACACAGCAAGGCCCCCGACGCCTCACACACACACACATGTGGCTGCCTGCTACAATCGTCTGCCTGGCCTGGTGGTGTGGTGTTCGATGTCCCGACCGTGTTACTTCAGCAGCCTGCATGTGCAATGTCCCTGGTGCATGGTGCCGTCCTTACAGTTATTTGGCAGCATGTGTGTGTGTGTGTATGTGTGTGGATGAGAGCCCTGATGGACTGACGACCCTTTCAATCACTCACAAGATTGTGTCCTCCAGCTCCGCCGTCGTGTCCGTCAAAACACACACACACACACACATCCACAGACACACACACACACACACATCCACAGCCACAGCAATTAAATAAAACCACACACATGGATGCAGTCAATCACGCCGCCTCCCCCCTCCTCCCCCGACAGCCACACAAAACATCAAAGGACACAAGTCAGCCAGCGCAGTACGCACACGCACCCGGACGGACACACACACACACACACCGATGATAAGCGCGCCTTTGCACCGCTAAGCGGACAGATCTCTCGTCTGCCCCGAGCTAAGCTGCGTCTACGGACCACACACACACACACACACACGTGTCACATCGGTCAGCCATCCACACACGCGGCATCGCGTCGCAGCATCAGGTGCGTGTCTTGACGAGGGAGGTCTTCATGTGATGAAGGTTGGCCAGCGATGCGGTCAGGATCAGACGCGACACCCACTTGGGAAAGTCGCCTCGCAAATCAGCCTGCAGTACTTAATCCAATCCACACAGACAGACAGACACTCAGACAGGCAAGGACCTATACCCACCGAGTGCACCCCATTCGCCCACTGACCTGCCAGACAAAGTAGAGCCTGCAAGAGCCGTCCTGCACCCGACGGCAGTCGAAGCCGCCGATGTGGGCGTGCGCCCGAATGCGGCCCGTGAGCATGCCGACGGCGTGGCGCCATTCGATAGACCGAGAGACACACACACTGTGGTCGTCACTGAACTGAATGCATAACACAAGCCACACAACACACACACACAACATCTTGCTGCTCTGCTCATCAACCGCCCCGCCCAGCCGACCTGGTGTTGGCTCCCCGACAGGCAGAAGTCCCTCCCAGGAATGCCGAAGCCGCCCCTGTAGGACTGGTAGTAGGCACAGACGCCGCAGCTGCCGTCCTCACGGTAGGTTCGGAGCCTGAACTGGGTCTCCAGCAGCGGATTGTACTGCCTGGGGTCGGTGTGCGAGTAGAAGAAGTTGATGACCTCTCGGGGGCTGAAGGACCCGCCGATGTCGATGTGGCCCAGCACGACGGGCGACTGGCCGGGCAGGTCCCTGATGAATTGCTGACATACATATGGCCGATAGACAGACAGACAGACAGAGAGACAGACAGAGGGAGGGGAGAGCAAACAAACAGGCATGACATGAGGCGTGTAGCGGGTTGAGTTGAGGCCGGGGTCTGCACAGACATACCCTGACGCCGTGCTTCATGCCCAGGCTCTTCCACCCGTCGGTCGAGTTGATGATGGCATTCAGCTCGTGCGCTGCCTCCTCTCCCTACACACACATAGGCACACTACATTCAATGGATGGATGTATCCCCCTCCCCCTCCCCCTCCCGCACCGACCAGTGCCTGTAGGCGTTGGCCCATGAGCAGCTCCTCATCGGTCAGCCCCGGCAGCCACACCACTTCCCCGTCAGCCCCACCCGCCACAGACGGTACACAGGGGGGCGACAGCACACACGTCTGTCCAGGGCTTGTCGTCACCGATGTCAGCATGTCGCCGTCATCGCACTCACTCGAAGTGTCACTGCCCTCCGTCGATGGGGCGGCGTGTTTGTCGTCGTGACCACCCGCACCCTCCTTGTCGCTGTCATCATCGCTGGCCAGCTTCGGCAGCAGTGAGTGTGGCGTCGGTGGCACTCGGTAGGGGAGGGAGACGGGTGTGCTCGGGGGAGGCGGCACGAGGCACCTGGGCGACGGATGGGATGTCTGTTTCACACATGCTCCTCGTCGCTTGCTCTTCCAGAAGCGAGGCAGCCACCACCAGCGGCGCCTCCGCTTTCCCTTTGCCACGGTGGCCGTCTTGTTCGGTGCTGGCGTTGATGGCTCGTGTGACACGGTTGGCTGTGCCGACGTCGATGCGTGTGCGAATGGGCAGGCTGCTGTGTGGGGGAAGTCGGGGTAGCTTGCCGATTGCTCATCAGACGTGATCAGCACCGGAGGGTTGGCGAAGGAGAGGGTGTACACTGCGCCATCTGGGAGAGGCGGGAAGGACCTCGGCGGGTCGCAGTACAGGCAGCCCACGATGCTGCAGGGCTGGTCTGCCGCCGAAGGACCCTCCTTTGCCGCCGACGCCACGCTGCTGAAGGGGTCTGCCTTGACGACAACGTCGCTCAGTGGCTGCGCTTGGCAGCATTCGGTGGTGCTGGTAGGTGTGCAGGCGTGCAGGCATCGCAGACTGAGCCTCAGGCCGCAGGCATCGCCCGCCGCCTGCCGGATGTAGGCCTCGATGGCGTGATCGATCAGGTCGGGGGACAGCTGGCAGGGAGGATCTTCCACCAGCGCCATCGTCGTCAGCAGCACGGAATGGGAAAACCGGAGTCTGCTGAGCCGTGGGGATCAATCGAGGCGCGTACCGATTGTAAATTCTCAACGGTTTTCCGGGCAAATACCGATTTTAGCACTGAACGAATTGATGAATCATTGTCATTCAATTCATTCGTGCTGTGGTCTTGGCGTAGCGGGTCATGAGATGGCAGGCCTTCGAACGAGGCAATGGGTGGCCCTTTCCAAATCCGGACATTGCCTCGATGTGGAATCGGCAGGCTCTGACCTGACGAACTCCTGTCTCACACGAGACAAGACAAGGACACACACAGGGTGGGACACGTAAGTTGTTGCAAAGACATCTGAGTCGCTGTGGCTTGCTCCTTCTCACCACGACGTCGTTGGCCATGCACCAGGTCTCCGGACCCCATGCAGCGGACCGGCATCACACGAGCTGAGTTGCAGTGTTTGGCTTCGTCGTCTTCTGTCTCCAATGCCCCGCATGTGCCCACTCCAATGTCATTCGGTCCATCAGCCATCCGTTGGAGAGACAGACAAAGGGCAGACATGAAACGCTCCCGCATCTATCGATTCCTAGCTCACCTCGTTGACGACACAGGTCTGTTTGTCTGGGTACTTCGGGTGCCACATCTGGTGCCCGTAGATCTGTTCCTGTATACCGACGACACCAAACAGAGCAATCGAAGGTTCTCTTGTGCTTGTCGTGACGTGAGGGGGGGGAAGGGGACGGTGATTCTACCTCTTCACTGACGATTGCTGGAGAGTTCTGGCCTGACCGAGCGATTCGTCGTTTTTCGGCGATGCGCGGCAGAGAGCCAGACAATACTAGTAACTGCCTGTGGTTGCAGGCGGCGTGCAGACGGGTGTGGGACGCTGAGTGTTTGGGCGCCTGCCTGTTTGAGCGGGGCACCTGGCCTGTCTGCGATGACAATGCGGTCAATCCGTTGGGGATCTCTCTGTGTGTATGTCGATCTGCGGCCGACAGGCACACACAGCTGTACGTGTATGGGTGTGGAATGTCCATACGGTGAGGCCGACTGCCCGACTTGTTTGGTCCGCTCGTTCAACGAAAACGTGTGAGGTCTGTCATGCACTCACTGACCCCGACTCTCTGAGTTTGTCTGTCTGTCTGTCTCGGTGTGATCCTTCTTGATCGATCCTCCTTTGGCACACAGTCGTGAAAAGAAATAGCAGCCAGTCCATCTCTGTCCACTCACTCACTCAGCCGTCGGCTAGTGGGCTCCGTACATGAGGCTCATGTGCTCTTTCTCTGCCCGGAGCCTCATGTCTTCCTCTTTCTGGAGCCTCTTGTGTGCCTCTTTGGCAGCCTCTGCATAGCAGACAGAAGACACACATTCGTGCATGTGTGTAAGTAGCGATCAAGTAGGTTAAAATGCAAACGGCGGGCGGGGGGCTCGGCAGGTATTCTTATCCGTCTGTCTGTCTGTCTCAGAGTCTGACTCAGAGTCTGACTCACCTCTGTCAGGGTCCCACTTCGGGTGTCCACCGAAGAACTTGATGATCTCCGTGTCGCCCCACGTCTCAATGGACATGAGGCCAAACATGGACATGAGGTCGTCCTCGTACCTGACGGTTGTAACGGAGTCCCGCCTCACGACGAAGTTCTGTCTCACACGAGACAAGGCAAGGACACACACAGGATGGGACATGTAGTTGTTGCAACATCTGAGTCGCTGTGGCTTGCTCCTTCTCACCACTTTCTTGGCGGCCATGCACCAGGTCTCCGGACGGTTCCAGCCGACAGACATCACACCAGCTGAGTTGCAGTGTTTGGCCACCTCCTCTGCGTCCTCTGTCTTGAATGCCTCGCATGTGCCCACTCCCTCGTCAACCGATCCGACCGGTCCGCTGTCCATCAGTATCTGTCGTCCGGAGAGACAGACAAAGGGCAGATATGAAACGCTCCCGCATCTATCGATTCCTAGCTCACCTCGTTGACGACACAGGTCTCTTTAGGTTGGCACTCCATCCCAGAGGACATCATGCTCCCGTACATCTGTGCCTGTGTGCAGACGACACAGAAGCGTCGTAAGGCCATCTTGTGCGACGTCTCACCGTTTTTTTGGTTCCCGTGCGTTCGGTGTAGTAGGCTATCATGCGGACTTCGCACGGTTGGGGCTGGATGTTCTTGCAAGTGGCCAGGGCGACGCAGGAGGCGACCACCAGGGCCTTAAGCAGAAGGGCCGGCACGACGGATGCCATCTGCAATGACATGCCAAACAGAACAGAGCCATCCAGTCCTACGGCCCCCTGTGACGGCGTGGCAGTCAGCCCCCGGCCGCCTCGTCTCGCTCACCGTCTCGAAAGCCGCAGGAAACTCAAATGGTGAAGAAACGCTTAGTCAGGGACACTCAGAGAGGCTTCCGAGACCGCAGAAATGAAGGCGGCAGGCTCTGCGGCGCTCCCTGGCCTGGTGCGAGGCGCAATGCGAGGCGTTGTGTCACAGGCCTCGTGGCAAAGCCCCCAGTGACAGGCACCCGTGGGCTGCAATATTGCTCAAGACAGCGGAGACCCACCGTGAACTTGAACAAGGCCACTGGTGCAGGTCGAGACGCCCCCACGTTTGACACTCGAAATTGTCGATCCGTGTCTCGTGTTCCCCTCCCGCCGACGAGACAATGCACCTCTCGCATGCCATGGCTCGCACGTCACGCAATCAATGCGCGCAATGTGACGAGCGGTGAGGGAATGCATCTAGTCCTTAACCGACTGTGGTCATCCACGGGTGGTCATCTCAGAAGAGCCCATCAAAAGGACCAAGACCCATTAATTGTGCGAGTGAGTGCCATCCATCCATCCATCCATCTATCCATTCATCCATCCATCCGCAAAGACGATTATACAACATGAGCCTCAGGGAGACCGCCGTCTCGCCCACAAATATGCAGTGCACCAAAAGAGCGCATTGCACCTGCACTCATCTGCTCTGTGTGCACAGAGTTGGCTGCCCTCTCCCTCTCTCGCTCTCTCTCTCCCTCTCCCTCTCCCTCTCCCTTCAAACTACAAACACACAGACATCCATCCATCCGTCCATCCATCCACCCATCCGCTCCTAGACAGAGAGAGAGAGACCACGCCGGTCACATCAATGACATCACATCACACTCCACTCCACCCCACCATCCGCACCACTTACTGGCCCACCTCACCTCTGTGCCATCACCTCACTCACGCGCGTCGGTGACGTGAGGGAATCTGAAAATGGGCAGGGGGTGCGCCTCGGTGTTGAATACCCACTCCGAGAGGTCGAACGTCCATCGGGGAGAGAAGAGCAGATAGAAATACTTGAGCACCTCGGCCGTCCAGAACGACTCGGTCTCGTCACTCTGATGAGAACCGTCAGCCTGCAGATATATCGGCACACACACACACACACACACACATACACACAGAGGGAGTTGGCCTCTCCAATATGTCTGTGTGGATGTGTGTGGTGTCTGTCTGTCAGTCTGTCAGTCTGTCGGTCTGTCGGTCTGTCTCTTGGGTGCCTTCCTTTCCTTACGCTGTTGACTTGTTCGACGAATGCGTAACCGTATTTGGCTTTGCAGTGTTTCTGGATGGCCCGCCATATCTTGTAGCCCCACTGCCGGTAGGTGGGGTCGCCCGTGTAGTACCACAACAAGTAAATCGACTCGACAGTCTCCGGCCTGGTGGGCCACAGGCATGCATGCACCACATCCATCCACTCACCGCATTCGCCTCCCCCCCTGTCGCACCTGAGCTTGTAAGTGTCCTTGTAGCCGAAGAACACCTCGGGATCCTCCTGCTGTGGGCTGTTCCGCACGCCAACAAACTCAGGACTCAACCCTACACACACACACACACACACACGCACACACACTCATAGACATCCACAGCCCCTGTGTGACCTGTCTTGTGCTGTTCGTGTGGTGCTGCCGATCACCTCACCGACCAGTAGCAGTTCGCGCGTATCCCTCATAGCAGGTCTGCGTGATCTTGTGCGATGCCCTGTCCCACTCGACCCACCGCCGCTTCCGCGCCGCTGCCAACTTGGTGTCGTTGGCCGCGGCCGCGGCCAACAGCTGCTGGTCGTGGGGCCTGCCCTCCTCCACACCAAGCTTGAGCAAGCCGCCCATGAAACACACCAGCTGCTCCATCCTGATCAATGGACACATGGATGGAGTGGGTGGTTGGGGTGGTTGGGGGCTGTTGACGCACCTACCTGGGGTCGTGTTTGACGTTGGCTGGTGTGTCTGCGATGAACATGAGCTGCGAGGGGCCGTGGGACGTGCCGACGAGAAAGGTCATCATGCCGTCCATCGCTCGCTGCCACAAATCGAAGAAACGGGGCTCAGTCTGCCACAGAGAGAGAGAGACAGCCATACAGGCACTGAGGGAGGGCACTCTCCATGCTGTGTGGTGTGTATGTGCTGACTCTGTCTGTGCCCAGGCCACCCCCGCACCGACCTTTCCGGTTTGTATCCACTGTTTGAGGAGGTACTCGTAGTAGCTGTCGGCCATACCGCCCACCGTCGGATGACCACCCGCACGACCTGACCAAGGGGAACATCCAGCCAGGCATCCACCCACCCATCGGCCATCCAGGCAGTAAAGGCTCTGCCCCTGTCTGTCTGTCTGTCTGTCTGTCTGCTCACGTGGTGCTGGTTGTGCAGCCAGGTGGGTGAAGGGCAGCAGATGGTCGCCCCCTGCGGCCTGCACGCACACACAGACAGACACACAGCCGTCTCCGCTCTCTCCGTCTGCCCCTCGTGCGAGCAGCTCACCTGCCGAAGACTGTTGAAGGCCCCATCGGCTGCACGCTGATACCTGACAGCCACAACAGCCACAATCCGCCCGTGTGTGGGCGTGTGTGTGAGTTGCGTGTTGGTGACTGACTTGGGGTCTCCCGTGAGGAATGAGAGGCACCTGAACTCCAGCTGAAACGTGCCGGCAGAGGCCATGATGATGTTATTGGTGAAGCGGGTCGTTCGCTGCGCTATGTTGACGTCGTCACTGATCGACCGCCCACACACACACACACACACACGTCCATCCATCCATCTCTCTCTATGTGTGTCTGTCTTACTTACTTCGGGAGGTATGAGCCCTTGTTGATGGCGGCCATAAGCCTGTCGCCCAGATCAGTGGCCTTGAGCAGCAAGCCCGGCCGGCCCGAGAGGGCGTGGGCCGACAAAAGGCCGCCCAGCACACGGATGACAATCTCAAAGAAGAAGTACTGCCGCGCGTAGTCGAATGAGAGCTCATTCTCGGCAAAACTGGCCGCCTGACAGACAGTGGGGAGGGAGGCAGGAAAGGAGAGAGCACCAATGGCCTCCCTGGACCTATGTGTGAGTCTTGGCGCACCTGCTCGAACTCCTTTGTGAGGTTCATCATGTAGAGGGTGGAGAGGGAGTCGACCAAAAAGACAGCAGAGCTGAATGAAGAAGGAGAGGACAAAGGGGGCACGGCACAGTGACCGTCGTCAAGGAAGGCTGATTGTCTCTCTCTCTCTGTATGTTCCTGTTGTCTCACTTGAGGTCTCTGACAGGTCTGCCTGAGAGCGGCAGCACCCTGTCGGACCCCAGCCCCTTCTCGGAGTACATCTGCCACGTAAATCGAGTCGCCTCCACAACCTGACACACGCACACACACACACACACACACATATACACACGATCCCATGGCGCCACCCCCACTCTCCTTCCCCCCTGCACCACCTACCTCTTCCCTCTGCTTGAGCGCCTCTCTATCCCACTTAACAAGCTGGTCCACACCGTAGGTGTCGATCCACTGCTGTGGGTACGGGTATGGCTGCTCCTTCCCCCCCGCGAACCGCTCCCACTCGTCCAGCGAAGGCACGGCCGGCGGCCGCCAAGGCTTCCTAATCGTCACCTGCGTCATGGTGGTCGTGTTGCTCACGCTCACGAGGCTGTGCGGGTCGTAGTACAACCGACCATCGTCAGCCAGGGCCGAGCTGCTCTTGTCTGTGCGTGGAGGGGAAATGGCGACACCCCCCACCTGAAGAGGAGGCCCCTTTGCACCACCACGCAGGCTCGGAGGTGGTGGGGGCGGCGGGGCGATGGCCCGCTTGACGGCGTCCCGCGCCCGTGACACAGCGCCCCTGACAGCCTTCCAGCCGCGTGAGTCCGTCAAGGGCGCCCCCGGCACCCGCACAAACATCGCCTCCGCCCTGCCATCACCACCATCATCACCATCAACACGGTCACCACCATCTCCTGCCGTTCCAGCCGCATCTGCATCGCTCCTCGGTGACGCCCCCGCCCCCCGCCTCGGCCACTGGATAAAAGCTGAATTCACCACAGAAGCGTCGGAGTCGATGGCGCCCGCTCGATGCACGACGATAATGAGGTTGAGGACGATAATGCTGCCGAGAACAGCCAGGCCGATGATCACACAGGACCGCCGGAGAGAGCGGCGGACCGACGGCAGGGGCGTCCATTTGGGTTCGTTCTCGAGGCCGTGGTAGGGGTGGGTGGGCGAGGACGGCCCAGGGCTCACTGGGGCGGGGTCCGAGCGGGCAGAGAACATCGCAAGAATGGGATAATATGATGGCAGGCAGCGATCAGACCAATGGGATCAGACCAAGATGCTTCAAGGCCGTAAGGTGGCGAGGAGGAGGAAAGATTGTCGAGCTGATCAACTGCTGTCACTGACGCCTCAAGCGCCAACCCCTCTCCGTTTACCTCTGCGAGCTTAGCCAACTTTGAAAGGGAAGGCGTGGCAGCATGCGTCGTCTTTTTGACTTCGGTGGCGAGCGGAGGGCATCAGACTCGCCCGGACGACAAGATCAGCAGCAACAGCAACAGCACGGGTGGCGCCTGCCGAGTTGGGAGAGCATCACCGGCGCGGCGATGGGCCACCACCCCTCACACACATCCGTGGCTGCCGCTCCACAAGCCTACCATGCCTCACAGTCAGGTGCATAACACACAAGAGAGGGAAGAACCAACCTTACACATCTTCCTTCCCTCCCTCCCTCGTCCATTTGTGTGTTTGCTGTCGACGGATCCGTGCGCTTGCAGGTCCGCTGATGGGCGGAGGGGACAGCTCCCCGTCAGTGGTGGCACTGGAGCGTTCCCGTGCCATTCAGGAGATCCGGATGGCCAAGGAGCTGTCGGTCGTCATGGCGCTCAACGACGAAGGGTTCACCATCGAGCAGGTCGAGCAGGCCGTCGCGGGGCAAATCAAGGTGCGGGCGGCAACAAACACAAGGGCGACAAATGGACGGATGGATGGATGGACGCAAGCAACACACGTGTGTGTATGCGTGAACGTATGTGTGTGTGTGTGTGTTCAGGTGACGGTGCCGCGTGTGATGCTCAAGGACGACCTGAACGGTGACATATCCTTCACAGTGGCGCCCTCGCAGCAGTTCCCATTCAAACCGCCACACGTCTTCTGCCTCACCAGAGTGAGTGAGTGACTGAGTGAGTGGGTGGGTGGGCGACGGACATGCCTGCACGCCCACTGCCCATGCGTGTGCGCTCTGCTTGTGTGTGTGCGTGTGTGTGTCAGTTTTGTTTCCCTTCGTTGGCTGATGGTCGCGACCTGGTCTATGACGTCATCCGAAAAGACTGGTCAGTCAGACGTGATGGAAAGATCGGGATGTGACGACGCACAGATATGTGTGTGTGCTGCATTGTCCTCCTCTCCCCTGCCCTCCCCTCACACACAGGGTGCCATCCACCACCTACGCGTCAATCATCCGGCAGCTCCCTGGCTTCATCGGTAGGTACACTCACCCACCCCGCTCATGCAATGCACACCAGACATATATTCCCCTTCTCCCTCTCCCCCTCCCTCTCTCCCCCTGTATGTGTGTGCATCAGACCGTGTGCTGGAGGTGTCGCGTGAGAAGGGCCCGCAGGCGATGCTCTTCGGCTTCTTCGACGGCAGCGTGTCCATCGACCGGTACCTCAGGGACCCCAATGCATCCGTCATGCCCTGCCAGAAGGTCGACCAGCTGTCGCACCGCAGCGTGCCGCGGTTTGTGGTCCTCACAGAGGGGGCGCTGCTGGTGCTCGAGGTGACGCAGAACTCATCTCCGCAGCGGTTTGGCGAGATTCGGTCATGGGCGCACCTCTCGCAGCTCACTAGCGTGACGAGAAAGGTACAAACGGCCGGACATCTATCTACCTGATGGGGTGAACGAGCCAGTCTTCCGATGTGTGTCTTGTGTTGTGTTGTGTTGTGTGTTGGTGGTGTTCAGAAAAACACGGGCGTGGTGACGTTGCGCGTTAGGGGGTACGGTGCCGGACAGGGAGACAAAATTCAGGTCAGAGAGAGGGAGGGAGGGAGGGAGGGAGGGATTGCGACACATGGGCTGTCTGTCTGTCTGTCTGTGGTTGGGTCGGGTGGTTGGTGCAGACGTTTGTGTTTGAGGACCCCGAGACCTTCATGGCTGTCCTCCAGCACCACATGGCCTCCCTTGGGGTCGATTCATTCAATGCCAACGCCAACGGTAGACAGACAGAGAGAGAGAGGAAGAGATGGGCAGCGGCACAAGTCATCTCGGCGCGTGTGTTACCTGTTTCATGTCCATCAATCAGAGTCCCTCGAGAACGTCTCAGTGGAGATCATCAGGATGCGCAGCATTGTTGACGACCCCAATGCGCAGGAGCCCCTCTCCATCTCGTTCGTCCAGCGGCTCATGGCGCTCTACCAAAAACAGGTGGGGAGAAAGACCAGAAAATAGCCAGACACATCACATCACAAAATGCACCTCTCTCTCTCTGTTCATCAGATTGAGTTGTATTCGGCGCGGAGCGATCCGGCCTACGAGACCGCCCTGCAGTCACTCAAGGAATTCCTGCAAAACCCACGCGTCAGTGCCGTGCTCGACACACACCACCACCACCAGCACGGGCAGCAGCAGCAGCATGAGCACGAGCAGCACGAGCAGCACAGAGGCAGCGACACGAGCAGCTCACGGCACGCGGACCACATCGCCTTCGTGCCCACCGTCTACGAGAAGAAAGACAGAGACCAGCGGAGCAGCGTCCACGTCGAGTCGGCACAGGCGGCGAGCGAGGAGGCCCTGGCCGGGCCGTCCACCGTGCTACCACCACCACCACCACCCCCTCCGCCGCCCGATCTGCTGACGACCGAGCAGCCAGCGACAACAGAAGACACACATCAGGGGGAGGGGGCTGACGCGAAGAATGGAGGCGGCCAGGGCGCCCCGGATCTTTTGTGAGTGGCTGGCTGGCTGGTTGTCTTTCGCGGGCGGCAAGTTTTTCGGATGTCAGCGTACGCGCATGTGCTGTGCATGAGAGTGGGTGGCTACGAGCAGATATGACGGGTGTTCGTTCGTGTGCGCGTGGGGTATGCGCCAGTGTGGTCTTTTTCGTTGTGCGACGTGTTTGTTGTCCCATACACTATGCGCTCTTCTCCCTATTTGTCATTGTCACTTCTCACCTTCTGTCTGTCTTTCTCATCGCACAAAACACCTACCCATCTATCTCTCACTCTGTGACGCTCGGGTGCGCTCGCTGATCGAACGGATGACTGACTGGCTGAGTGTTCGTCCTCTCTGGTTATAACTGAGCCAGCATCCGTAATCCTTTCCCCCTCTCAGTCTTTCGCCCGACCCTCCTCCCTCCCTCCCTCCCTCTCTCCCTCCCTTGACTCGCTACACCACACACATGCACTCAGCACTCTCTACAACCACACAACATACATACTGACAGAGAGAGAGGTGTGCAGGGCACACAGGAGGACGGACGGGCTTTAAACCGTTGCGGCTGTTGCAGCTGCATTGGGTAGTAAAATCGTGAGTAGTGGGACACATACACATCCATCGGATACATACATGTGGCGATAGCCACCAACCAACAGACACACACATGGACCCACACAACACAGCACAGCACAGCCCAGCACACGAGGCTGAAAACTCCCCCCGCGCCTCAGTCTGTCTGTCTGTGTCTGCGTCGTGCCTAGCTGTCTCGCCAGGCAAACAGATGGATGGATGGATGGATGGATAAGGAACCCACCACACATCACATGATACAAACATGACATGGATATCAGTGGGCCCATCGATCAGAGTGAATGTTCAAAACCAGCCACCCATTCATTGTATGCCCGCCCCGCCCATCCACTGCCCGTGACCGAGACAAAAATCCCTCGCGCCCGTCTCCCTCCCTCCCATGCACACACGCACAATCCATTGTCTCGCGTAGAGATCCCTCGCTCCTTCACTCATTCATTCACTCTCTGGTGAGCTCCTTCTGCGGCTCCTTCTCCCTGGTGGCCTGCGCTGGCGGACCATCACCGTCTCTCGGGGGCGGCCCGGTGCCGGTGATCTTCCAGTACACTCCCCTGATGAAGTAGTATGTCAACTCGATGATCGACTGAGCCTGCAAGGAGCGACCAAGATTGCTCTTGCTGGAATGTTTCCGGTGTGTGCGTGTGGGTGTGGTGTGAGTGTGTCTGCGTCTAATACATACCGGGTATATGATGAGTATGGCGAGGACGCCGGCCTTTGTGACGAGCGACGGTGTCCAGTCCCTCCCGAGTGCGGTGAACCAGTACTCGTTGGTGGCGGGTATGTCCAGAGGGATGTCCAAGGCGAAGGCCGGCGACGCCAGGAACAGACACCCAAGGCCCATCAGCAGGGGAAGCGCCACACTAGACCTGCAACAAACAACAGCAACGACACACATTGCCAACCGACAGTCATGCCTGTCCGTCCATCTGTCTGTCTGTCTGTCTGTCAGCCGATGACGTACGTGTCTTCTTCGAAAGTAGTCAACAACTCAGCATCACCGTCGTTATCCGGCCGCCGCTCACCAGCAGCAGCAGCGGGAGACGCCGCAGCATCCCCTCGGGCATCAGGAGGCGCCATCAGCAGATCAGACGTGCCGGACGGCTTGGCATGTAGGCTGCTCATGGCTGTCCGGCGCAGCATGGCGGTGCTGCGGTGGACGGCGGGTGGTTGCTTCGCTGCAGGGGGTGTGAAGGCATTCACGACCACTGCGGTGGCCAGCAGAGCGAGGGCGGACAGACGCAGCATGGCTGACAATGAAGGTGATGCGATGCTGTCAGATCTGCGGCCCTCGGTCCTTCGTACGGATCTCCCTCGAGCTCACGAGATTCAGGGTTTGAACCCTGAACCTCCGAACCCTAGCAGAAAGCTGAAGAGGAGGAGGACTGCAGAGGCCTTTCTGTCCCAATGGCTCTCTTGCTGTTCGTCCTGTTCGTCTGCGGAATGCTGCCCATTCATGGCTTCGGCAAGACGTCGGCACACAGGCGGCAACTCGGAGTGGCTGTGCTGATCAAGAAGCGACCGGTGCTCATCACAGATGTACACCATGATCCGGCAAAGAGGCGCCGCGGCCGGAAGTGCACTTTGGAAGCAGCCTCGAGCCTCGCTGTCGATGTGCCTGTGATCGGTGGAGTGCACTTCGAGGTGAGTGAGGAGCGATGGATGCACAGATCCCCAGATATATGCCCAGACAGATGCACACACGAAGAAAGGACAATAACATGGAAGCATTGCAATGCAGAGATGCCGATCTCCTTGTGTGTCTGTGGCGTCCCTGTGTGGTCAGGAATACCTGAGGTCTCCTGATTCGAAGGTGGCGCTGCTCAACACTGACGACTATGAGGATGTGGGCGACCACAGCTACAGGTAGGTCAATAACAACCGCCGCACACATAGCAGCCCGCCCCACTTCTTCGTCCATCCGTGTGCCAATCAGGTGTCGTATGAAGGGCATCCACTTCTGGTCTCTCCACATCACGCCGATCCTCACCTTCCGCATCGACAAGCACATCCACCGGGGAGTCGCCAACATCCAGGCCATCGAGGCGGACATCGAGGCACGCGCCAACACACGACACCATGGCAACGGCAAGGACGGCACATCATCCGCCAGGATCGCTCTGCCAGACCAAACCCGACAACGTAACGGCAACGACCACCACCATTCCCACAGCCACAGCCACGACGCCCACCCAGGTCTGCATGCCCTGACGTACCCAGTGGAGATCGAGGCTGAGAATACCGTCAGGTGGTGCCAATCGCCCACACACACGTACACACGGACCACCACCTCCACCAGCAGCAGCAGCAGCAGCAATAAGGGGGCCCGGCCGTCATTCCGTCTGTCGAGCGACCTGCGTCTGAAGGTCAGCATCCACAAGCCGATCTGGGTGCTGCTTCCTGCCCACTTAATCGAGGTGGGCGGCAGCGCCATTCTGCGGCGCGCTTTGCGAAGCACTCTGCCTGAGTTTGTGGGCGGTTTGAGGACGGGCTATGTGGAGTGGGCGCATCGTCACCGGCATTTGTCGCTGAGAGAGAGGCTCTTTCGCTCGTCACACTCAGATGAGAAGGCGTGATATGTGCGTGGGTGTGTGCGGATTTAGAGAGCGGTGCACGTGTGTGTGTGTCGATGACATTGAGGGAGGACAGGCATTTTGTCGTGGTGGAGGGTGGTGGGGTAGTGGGTGAGTGGACTGCGTGCATTCAAACAACCGGCCTCGTCATCAGTCTGGTGTGCGAGTCCATATTATCGAGATCTGGTGCTGTCTGTCTATATGTGATTGAAAACCCAGCTCCTATATGATGTGATTGATTGAGAGCCTCTCTAAACCGCAAAAACTTCCAATTAGCTCCTTCCTGCCGTCCTGCCTGACTGCCTGATCTCTGATAGACTCTGAGCGCTAGAAAGCGTGTAGATAAACCGAAAAAAGCCTATGGTAGCCGCCCTTCGTGCAGCAGAGCGCGCTTCCGCCACAGCACCCTCACCACACGCACAGGCATCTAAATTGCAATGCAAAAACAACGAAGCCAGCCACCCATTCTGTGCCCACCGAGGAAAAGCGCATCTAATCATTCGTCGGGCTAACGGACACAGAAGCTTATGTCAACTGCTGCCCGGCCCACACACACAGCAGCAGCACAAGAAAATGGGTGGATCATTCCCGCGCCCCTCCCTCCCTGCCTGCCTCCCCTACTGCCTCAGAGATCCTGAGACGCTACTCGCCTGGGGCTCTCGCGCGTCGACTCGGCCAGGTCAGCCACGCTGATGGTGTGCGACCGGCTCAGCCCCCCAAAAGACGTCGGCTGCTGCTCCTGCTGCTGCTGCTCGTAGTGCTGCTCGTGGTGGTGTTGGGCCGGTGTGATCTTCTTGCTGGCGTCTGGCGATCGGTCTTTGGGTGTTGCCGGTCGCTTGTTCATGGGGGGCAATTCGTGGGCCCACTTGGAGAGCCGCCGGCTGTGGGCGGCGGGCAGCTCGGTGGTGGGCGCCATCAGGCTCTTGACCATGCTGTCGTTGGACGCGCCGGCCTCGCCGTTGAGGACGTCCTCTGGCATCTCGATCTCGCCCTCAGCCCCCTCTCCCTCTCCCTCTCCCCCCTGCTCGGGCGACTCTCGCTCGATGTCGCTCGTCTCGGCGTCACTGGTGGGCCATATGACCTCGTGAGGCGTCTCAGCGCTCGAGCTGACGAGCAGGTTGGCCTCGCCATTGCCGATGCCGATGTGTGGGAAGTGGGGGACGCCGACCTCGCGGGTGGACAGGCGCTGCAGCCACTTGACGGGTGTGCTGTCGTTGTTGTCGAGGAGGGGGGCGTTTTGGCTGTCGCGGCCGTTGGCTGCCTGTGCGTGTGGGGGGTGTTTGGCGTGGTGGGTCTTGGAGGTGAGGCGGCATGCGGTGGGGATGTCGATCATGCACGCCAGACGCTTGTTGTAGTCTGCACAGCACACAGTACACCAACACGATGGATGGATGGACCATCGTGCGTGCGGACGTACCTTCGTGCAGCTCGGCAAGAGGAAGGTCGTTTGCCCTCGTGCCGAAGGGAGTCTCCATCTCTGCACACACACACGTACGCACACACACACACGCCCTCCATCCATCCAACAAGCCGGTCGATCACATGCTTGTGGCCATTCCGTCCGGTATGCTTACGCAGGGAGCAGTCGACCATTGCGTGGAAGCCGCCGACAGCCAGTGCGGCGACGACGGGCGCGAGGTAGGGGTCCTCGATGAAGGAGGCCGACACGATGGGGACCATGAAGGCCAGGATGAGCTGGAAAGTGTGCACCAGCTGCACATAGGGGAAGGGGAACGGGGTGTCCTGCCACACACACACACACGCACACATACACACACACACACAGAGAGAGAGAGAGAGAGGGACTACAGTACACCACGTGTGTGTGTGTGTTGGTGCTGGGTGTTTGTCTCACCCACCCCACCCACCCACCTCTATTTTACAGGCTTGATTGTACGCCAGCATGGCGTTGCTCAGCTCTTGGAACAAACGCGTCTGTCACACACCAGACACCACACAACCGCACTCGTTCGTTTATCGACCAGACCAATGAATGCATGGCCTCCTCTCCCCTCCTCCCCATTCCCTTCCCTCTCTGCCCGTACGTACCCACCCCGCCCACCTCACCTGTATGGGTGGCGCCACTGCCAGCCCGCCCTCGTGGCACCGCTTGACGATGCACTTGTTGAGCCAGTGCACCACCACATACGCCTGGTCCTGCACCTTCCCAAGCTTCACCGTCTCCTCTTCGGATATCCCCCCGAAGATGGTCAAAGGGACCTGCCCACGCAGCAGGTACTGGATGGCCACGCCGTGCAGCAGCGACATCAGGTGCAGGAACTTCGCCCTGAAGTCGACGCCGCCCTTGACCGACTGCACGTCGGAAATCTCGTCAAACCTGCAACAACCAACCAACCACACACGCCACACAATACTTCTCCGTGTTGGTCAGAAAAGTGACGGATGGATGGATGGATGGAGTAGGGTGCTCATATCATGCAAGCTAAGGTCGTACGCGATTCCTTGTGTGGCGACGTCAGCGAGTTTGCTCGAGAAGGCCTGGATCTGTGTTCGCGCCTCCCAGTACCTCTGGTAGGCCATGTTGGTGTGGAAGACCGTCATGAAGGACACGACTAGGATGAAGGCGTGGAGGGGGTAGGGGTGGTACATCAGCCCGCCGCCCATGTCCTCGATCGTCACCTTCCAGTACTTGAGGGCGAACGTCAGAAACGCCGCGAATATGGCACGGGGGAGAGTCAGGTGCAGCACGGAGCCGCGGATGATGGGGATGAACCTGTAGCCCAGACACAAACAGACCAGACACACAATGTTAATGTCTGTCTGTCTGTCTGTCTGTCTGCCTGTGTGCTCCAAGGTGTGTTCGCCACCCACCGGAAGAACAGGCACTGGAAGCGCTGAAATGAGAAAAGCACAACACACACACACACACGCACACACACAGGCAAATCAGATCTCCACCATGGCATGGATGGTGCATGAGGCGTGCAGAGGATCCGGCTGGCTCACCTTGTAGCGGATCATCGTTGCTCTGGCTGTGAGTGAGTGAGGGTGTCACACGTTCGTCGGAAGGGGGAAAGCTTCGACCTTATGGAAGCGGCACACAGCCTATGCTATGGCCTTGATTCTCTCGCGGTTTAACGTTCACCAACGTCTCCTTGGAGCGGTTTCAGGCAGCACCCTAGGCACTGCGAGCTTGACAGTGAGGACACACAGCCACATCCCTAACACCGCGCGGGGTGAAGGAAGAACGCAATTAAAAGATGATTCGGCAACCGCTGAGGAACATGCTCAGTGGAGTAGCAGAGCCGTTTCTGTTCCTTGTCGTCTTGACCTGCTGTCTGCCGGACGCAGCCGTGTGCCAGCCCAGCGGCGGCAGCGACCTGCAACTGCCGTTCGAGCTGCGTCGATTGGCGTTCGGCAGCTGCGCCAAGCAAAAGTACGTTCGGCAGCCCATATGGGACGTGGTTGCGGCCACTCAGCCTGATGCCTTCATCTGGACCGGCGACGCACACTATGCGAGTGGACATCTGTCCAAGGAAGGGAAGCACACGAATGCATTCCATTTTGTGTGTGTATGTGTGTCAGATTGTTCGAGTGTGGCGTGTCTGCGGGAGGGGTACGCCAAGCAGTCGTCCGTGCCCGAGTACGCGGCCTTTGTGGGGAGCAAGGATGCCGATGGGCGGCCGGTTGTCGGCGGCATGTGGGACGACCATGACTATGTATGGGATTCTCCACACACACACACATCTATCCATCTGTCTGTCTGTCTGTCTGGGTGGCTGGCTGCACTCGCTGCAGGGTGTGAACGACGGCGGCCAGTTCTACTCATTGAAGAACACCTCTCAATCGCTCTTCCTCGACTTCATCGGCGTGCCCACAGACTCGCCCCGCCGCTCACGGCAGGGCGTCTACTCGTCACTCTCATTCGGCACACCGCCACACAAGACCAAGCTGCTGATGCTCGACACGCGCTTCTTCCGTGACTGGCCCCTGCTACCCTCGGTGGGCTCCATACGGCTGCCGGGCTCTGCCTTCATTGGCGCACTGGTGCGATTCAGCCTGGCTTTCTTCGGGTGGGTGGGTGGCTGGGTCTGTGTGGTCTGCCGGTGCATTGAATATGTGTGTGTGTGTAGGTTTGGTGAGGGCTACAGCGGTGACGTGTTGGGTGAGGACCAGTGGATGTGGCTGGAGGAACAGCTGACGCACTCGGACGCGGCGGTGCACGTCATCCTCTCATCCATACAGGTAGCCAGCCAGCCACACGAGTTAACGAGTCGTGTGCGCGAGGGCGTGATTGATTCGTATTTTTATGTGTGTAGATCATGACAATGTGTGCCGTCTTTGAGTCCTGGGGGCACTTCCCCATCGCTAGGTACACACACACACGCCATCAGACACACACGCGGTTAGTCCTGTCTGTCTGTCTGTCTGTCATCAGGCAGCGTCTGTTCTCGCTCCTCCAGCGCACCAAGCCGAAGGGCCTCATCTTCATCAGTGGCGACGTGCACTTCGGAGAGGCCATCGGCAAATCAGTCAGCCTCTAGCTGACTGACATGGCACGTAGCCGCCGACCACTCACCACCCCATTTTTCCTGCTCTTTGCGTACGTGCAGAGTGGGGTCGTGGAGGTGACGTCGAGCGGCCTCACCCACAGCTGCGCCACAGCCACGCTGGTCGGCCCACTGTGCGAGCCCCTGCTCGTCAGGTGCCCACACATGAGGCTCGACCACAATGCCACCGCGTACTACGTGAGGGAGAACTTCGGTCTGCTCGATGTCCGGTTCGAGCCGCCGGATGCGCCGACGCCCAAGCGGGTGCACCTGCATGCGGCCGTGTTGGATGAGGATGGGAGGGAGCGGATCACGGCTAATGTGACACGAAGGTAAGGTATGGACCAGACAATCAGTCGCGGTGACGCCTGGCAATGTCGTCTGTGTGTATGTCAGCCTCTCTGATGATCCGTCTGTGCCTCTGCGGTATCTGGATGAGGTGCCATCCTTAATTAGACACACGTACGTGACGTGAGCCTATCCTCCCACACATGAGAGCAGTGCCCTCAGACACGTCCTCCCTCTCCCTGCCTCTGTGTGTGTGTGTGGGTGTTCAGGTCTCCGGTGACCAAAGGGGCGGTTTTTGCTGTTTTGGGGTTGGTGATGCTTGTGGGTGGGCAGGTCTTTGTGGTGCTGTGTGTGTCGATACTGCGGCTGTGCAGTGGGAAGAAGAAGGGCAAGAGGAAGACTGGATGAAACGGGTAGGTAGAGTGTCGGATGTTCACGTGATAGAGACTTCTGTGTGTCCGAATCAATCTAATCTATCTGCCGATCGATCAAAGCACACACAGGAAAAAGAAAGTGGCATCGCTATCGCATCTGTCTGTCTTTCTGTCGCTACAAACACACAATCAGTACAGACTCGCATCACTGCATCATCAATCATCCCGCTCCTGAGCCCCTTCCTCCTCCAGGCTGATACTCCCTCCTCAAATTGCGCCTCCTGTGAAATACATTCACTCATAGCGCAACGGCATGCAGGCAGAGTCTGTCGGTCTCTCAAGAAATGAACTGCGTCAATCGACCAACCCTCAATCATGCGACACACATGCCAGCACCATCCTCCTCCTCCTCCTCTTCTTTCTTCTTGGCCTGCTCCTCCCTCTCCCTCTTCTCCCCACCCGCATCCTTCACCCTGTGCGGCTCCACACGCACCACACCAGACTGAACTCTGAGGCCGGCGGGCTCCATTCAAGCACAGTCGCGCGCCCCCTCTTCTTCATCTCAAAGTCGTCGTCATCCTTGACCTCGCTCCACGGCCTGTCGTAGACCTCCCCGATGATGGCCTTGGCCCTTGTGAGGGCCGTGGCCTCCGTGTCAAACACGCCGGCGATCTTGCTCTCCGGAACATCTGAGGTGTGGAAGCCGTCAGGGCGATATCCGACGGTTTGGAACACGATCCAGACCTCTGGCACACAATAAATGAACACAATTGGATGTGACCTGCGCCACAGACGATAACTACAGGCATCAGGGGCAGTCACGCCATGCCGACCGACAATTGTGTGCAGAGTGTCCCGCAGAGAGCGATACAATGGACAGGATGCAAAAATATGAGACTCATCCTCAATGGGAGGGCGGGTGATTGATTGCCCAGTAAGGCTCACGGCAGATACGAGCAAGTCAGTTCTGTGCGAGCAAAACGGGCAGACGCTGCCCTCTCGCGGCCGGCCAAGGATGCGTCCATCCATGATGGCAGAAGGATAGCAGCCCACACGAAAAAGAAACAGAACACGCCGCTTACGAAACGGCAGTGACAGGTAGGAAGGAAAGCACGGCAACGGCTGAATGAGGCGATGGAGCCAGTCTTGCCCTTGGTGCACCACATGCATATACGCAGCAGCAGGCGCATATGGCGCCATACACACAATCGAGTCGATGTCACACGGGCAGTCACGTAAGGGAGACGGAAAGGAACGATGTAGGCGAGGAAATGCTACAAGAAAGGCATGATTGAACAGAGAGGATGGCACGAACAGCTCCTTGCGTGCCTGAAAGAGGACCCAACGAGTAACAGCTGTCTGACCACACGCATATGTGCGCCAAGGCAGTAAGGATATCGCCTCGGCGGAGAGAGAGAGGGGCGGAGGAAGTGAGGGAGTGTTACGCATATCAGGCAACCGAGCACGATTCCATCGCTCGGTCAAAATACGAGCAAACCCTGCCTTTGTGTGCGCCGTGATCATCTGTTTGGTATCGATAGCACTCAGCGGGCCAATCCGACTAATCCGGACACGCTGGCCTATGAAATCGAATGTGCGTGCAAACAGAGTGAATGTGTTGTGTTTTTGCATGTAGAAGTAAGCGTCGTTGCCCTGCATGCATCGGAATGACGGAGCAGACCGATACGCATGCTGTGCAACAGCAAAAGCCTTCTCTGCAGGGATGCCAGCTCTGCGATTGCGCAGGCGGATATAGAAGGACAGCTGACGACAACGCGCCTCGAAGAGCACCGAAAAACGACCAAGCTCACACAGCAAGGCCCCAGTAGAGACCCGACGAGTGACCCACATACATGACAGCAAGTAGTGCCGATGGAGACGCTCTAGAGCATCACAGTTAGTGCCCGCCCACAACTCACTACCGTACAGGTAGACAGGCGCCACTGTGGCATCATACAGGTGGAAGCGTGTCTGTAGGTCAAGGGCAGGAAGCTGTCTAAGACGACGTCGATATACCGCTAGCGCAGCCACCCCTTTCTTGGCCATCATGTCTGTATGATGCTTCCACCCTCCCCTCTCCATGAAACCATACACTCAGATAGCGGACCAACGGCAGTCGTTCTAGTAGCTTATCTGGCGTCCCAAAGTAGAACTGTCTGTCTGCCTCACTCGATGGCACCCGATCAGGATGAAACACAACAACTTTCGTTTTGTCTAGGTGCACATCCATGTGGTTGACACGGCACCACTGAAACAAACGATCCAAGCTAAGTTGAAGCCCAGCACCAGTAG